CTGCTGAAAAGAAACCATCAGAAAACACAGAAACAAGTGCTGATGAGAAATTTTCCTTACCAATTATGTGTAATAGTAGTGATGTGTGGCCCTTTTAGATATTTCCAGTAAGTAAAGTTGCTTAAGAATCTGGTTTGAATTAAGGCTGGTTTCTTTACAACTGAACTCAGGACCTATATGCAGTTTACAAGACCCAGGTCTGAAAGTTAAAACAGCAACAGTTTGAAGAAGGATAATGCTTGTCAAATGGACATCGTATTCCACCTACCCCTTACATCAGGTTTCTGAATGTACAAACAGACATCCCTTACCCAACACTCACTTGCTTTTAGTTGCAGACGCTCTGAAATCAACGCACAGTGTCTAGATAGATTCCCAACACTGAAGTAACACTGAAGTCTTTAGGAACTTGCTTATTTTTAATGTTAGATCTGTCTTCCAGTCAGTCCCTTCTGCAAATGTTTAGGCACTAACCTTCCATTCACTATGCTAGCAAGTTAGCTTGGCCTCTGGTTGTGGAAGGCTTTTCAGGGACAACTGAATCATAAAACAAATTTCTTTTTTGAAAAACACTTTATAATGCAATGATGAAACAGCTATTTAGAAGAGCAATGTTGCACACTGTAAGAGCAATGTTTCACAACTAGTCTGGTAACTACATCCAACATCTGTTCTGAGTTATAATGGAATGAATATATATATACCTCTGAGAATAATGAAAAGCACTTCACTGAGACTTGGAAGAAAGAGTCAGTGACAGATCACCTTAAAATCATAGCTGTTAAAGCGTCCCAAGTCCCTCCTTACATTATTACTTTCAGGATAAGGGCTAATGTAAAGAATAGCCCTCAAAATTCAAAGATGTGACCTTGTTTGTTTTGTCCTACTCTACATGTAAGTGAAAGATATTAAAGATATTTCAGTATTATTGAGCTACATTGGACAGTTAATGAATAGTCCAATACAGGCATTTTTGTGGCATTTGTGCTTCTGAAAGCAATTCCTGTATCAGAGAAGGTGCTGCTGATTCAGAAGCAAATGGACATTGTATTCCACCTACACCTTACACTAGGGAGTCAGTAAGGGTATGACTGACTTCATTCATCAGAAAGTTTTCACCTACTCATGTGCCTGACTTGCAGAAGCTGTGCTCTGCCAAATGATGCCGAGCAACACCTAGTAAGTTCTGTGCTCAAAATTGTCTTGCTCATTTGCAGTCAACAGTCTAAGTTCAATCAAAATAAACAGTTCCAAAATAACTCAGGACTTCAAACACAAAAAATGCCCTGTACCACTTACATTCCTGATACTTTCTAGACTGTGTCTCATGTTCTTCAACATAACAGACTCTCACATTGCTGAAATACTGTATTTTCTGGTACTTCTGACATTAATAGTTGAGCTTGGGCTGCATTAAGTGAGTAACGTAAGGCTGTCTGCTTTGAATTTCTTAGGATGCAATGGATAGACACTGGAAGCATGCAAAAGAGGTGGGAAGTTGTTATGTAGCAGGAGAACAAAAGAAGAAAAAGGAGCAGTTGTCATACATTAACACATTAATGAATGCAATAAATATAATACACTAAATTCTCGCAGTGATGTTTTGAGCCATTCTCCTGGCAAAGCTGTCATTTTGGTTGAGAGGAATTAGAGGAATTACTAAAGCAGAAGACAGCACTGACAAAATGGAGAGGAAGGTCTATGGAATGGAGAAAGCTTAAGCAAAAACTGATAGCAAATCCATCCACATAGCAAGGATGCAGATCTGAAGAGAATCCTTGCACATGCTCCCTCCACACAGCAGTCCCTTTCATTATGTCAGAAAGGGTGGAATGAAGTATTCAGTAAAGTAACAGCAACACACTTTCTAGTATGGCAACAAGTACTGGTCATCCAGGAACAGAAAACCACAGTACCAGATAAATTATAGCACTCAAAA